TACTTCCGTAGTGATACTGCCTCGGAAACCCAAGGAGGGGTCGCTATGAGTCGGGGCCGACTCAACAGCAAATAACAACAACAGCAACATAATAGGTTACTCTCAGTCTTAAGAGATCCTTTGATATAGGACATAAAATTCTTATTGTATATCATTTTTCATACATTTACATACAATTCTACATTTTACTGATTATTATACATGCAGTCTTTGGGTTATGAATGAGATACATTCCTAACTGTGTCTTTAAGAATTTATAAGTCGGAAGAGGTACATATGGTTCATATTTAGTTTTTAGTGCAAGAAAAGGTGCAACGCCTTTTCAATGATTTAAAAGCTGCACATGTAGCAATTGAAAGTAATTGTGATGATGGATTTGTTGCAAGTTGGGATTGGTTCATTCGTTTCACAGGGCAGATTTACATAAACGTAAAATGGGTTGAAACAACACTGCCTTGTTCAAAGATGGTAGTACCCCACTCAAAGATGGCAGCAGACTGTGCTGCTTTGAATGTGCGTCACTCTCCATGCTCTTGCCAGTAATCCAATCTTATGCATGAAGTTCCTGATAGGGCTCACTATACCTCTTCCAAGTCTTCCATTCCAGGCCTTTAACCCATAATTTTTTAATTTTGGTTACTGTGACAAATCACGCAAATTGTAAAAATTCAGGTCTGTTATGGTGGTCTGTTACTGTCTCACTTCACTGTCCATGATAGAACCAATTTCAGTTAGTTTGAAGCCCCACTTAAAAGGTACGTAGGAGGAATTATCCATAAGTCAGACCCTCGTGACCAGGGGACTGCCTGTTTTATTCAGATGCAAACTGTCCCAGTTGCACTATACATAACTGACTTGCTCTTCAGTTTTGTCACCTTCGTTGTCGGTGAGAAGAAGGGTATCTAGTAGAATGACTGATGAAGACTGAATTGTTGAACTTCGGAGTCTCATTGGGCTCTGGTACAAGACAGGATTGATCCCATTCTTCATTCCATGTTTCATGAAAAGCTTAGAGTTCTCTGTCATTGGATTCTGGAAGTAGATCTTGCTGGAGCATTTTCTAAGAGTTTTTACTGACTTTGTGGCCTGATAATTACAAGTGATATATCGTACAAACGCATCTCGAAATGTCTTGTTGAAGAGGGTGTAGACCAAAGGATTTACCCCTGAGGAAACATAGCCTATCCACACAAATATTTCTAGGAGCTTATTGAGAGTAAACTGGTTGCAAGATTCACATAAAACTAAAGTTATATTTGTAATAAAAAAGGGGCTCCACATAAGCAGAAAGAGGAAGAAAACAATCCCTAGGACCTTGGAGGCTCTCTGTTCGTTGGACATGGTCTGCACTGACCTTGTTCCAGCCGTAGACATCCTTCGTAAGTCATCACTTGACTTGGGCAGAGTTTTGTCCTTGCGAGAACCATCCAGCATTGCCACCTTTTCAGGTGATGAGCACGGTGTTTCATCCCTTTGGAAAACTGTGGACACAGTCAACCACGTTAGGCGTTGGGGTGGCTTGCTTTTGATGAAGTAACCTTTCTTCTGTAAAGCGTGGATGGTGAGTAAGTAGGTGACAATCATAATCGCAAGAGGCATGAAGAAGGCAGCCAGTGAGCCAAAGAGCATGAAGTTGCCAAAACGGTCCTTGGTCAGCGCACAAGTGATGTTGTTCAGGTTACCCACATCGACCTCTATACCTTTAATAGGGATTGGAATAGCAATGCCTAAGGAAGAGTAACAAAACAAATTGAGTTAATTTTATGACATACGATTCTTAGATTAGATCCTTTCAGAGTATTGCCCAGTGACTGTATGCTGGTTAGTGCACTGTGCTTCCTGGTTCCCACAGTGCAGAGTCTGTCAAAGCATTGGCACCGGGCTTCACAAATAGCCCCTAAGTAAGCACATCTACTGGTTTTAAACAACAAATATTGATTAGTGATTTTAGGTTTGTAATTAAAGCTTTCCTAAAGCAATGGTATGTCCATGATATAGTTAGAAAGATCTTCATATATTCTCCATTTCTTCATAATCTATTTTTATGCTTGTTATTTTTTCCTGGGTCAAAGAAAAGGAATTCAGAAAATAAACTGCTTTTATCTTAATATCCAATTTAGTAAAGAGACGTAAGAGTACATAAATGAAATACCTTAATTCCGAATAGCTATCCGTTGACGTTATTTTTGACATTAGTGAATGTCCCTTAATCCTTTCCTTATTACCCTCTTAGGGAAAGATAAGGAATTTGTGAGTTTATTTTTTTTTTTTAATAAATGCTATTAAAAATTTGAGAGCTTGTGAATTGTGAGATTTATGTTCAAGGCTTAGAGTTCCTCTAGTAGATATGAAAAAAAAATGGACCTCAGGCTGATTTTCTAGTACTTTAAGTACCATAAACTAAGTATTTAAGTGTGCTTTTGCTTATTAGACAAGTAGCATAAGAGTTCACCTTAAATCCTTTCCTTTTGACATAGCAAATATTTAAAAATAAGTCTGTATTTGTATTGAGCAATGTTTTGAATCCTTTAGATTTCTTGTTTCATGAATCCAAAAGCCTTCTATCATCTACACAGCCTTTTTTGGTAACTAAAAAGCCCTTGATGAGACCATTTTCCTTAAATCCTTTTTAATGGAGGCCACTACATTTTCTGCAGCGCCAGAAAGAGGGTTTTGTGTACCTATTGCTCTATTTCAGGGATAACAAACTTCGCTCACCAGATATGGCCCATGTTCTGTTTTTATAAGTAAAGTTTTATTGGCACATAGCCAAACCCATTTGTTAATGTATTATTTATGGCTGTTTTTGCTCTGCCACAGCAAAATTGTATAGTTGTGACAAAAAAACATGTAGCCTACAAAGTCTAAACTATTCACTTACCCTTTACAGAAATAGTTTCCCAAGTCCTACTCTACATGGTTACTTTCAGGTCATCATTCTGCTGTTCTTTCCTATATTTTGAAGTCTACTTAGTCTCCTATACCACTCTCTTTCCCATCCAGGCCATCTAACAACCTGCAGGACATTTTTTCATCTTCAGTGGATTCACTGCCTTACTGTAATCCTCTCTACCTGTTCTATTATCTTCCATGACTTCATCCCAATTAATGACACTTCTTATACCTTAGTTTTATATTTCTTGAACTTCTTAACATTCGTTATTATCATTTACACCCCTACAGCATTGTAAGTCCACTTAAAACTATTCCATACCTAAAATGATGAACTCAGATATTTCCCTTTCTTGTCTTGCTACTTCTTCACTACTACTGAACTTTTCTTTACCCTTATCTTGATCTCTGGCCCCGGCTTCATTCCTTATTTTCAATTTGTATTAATTCTTCTATGAGGCTCACATTACCTTCCTGTCCAACTGGGTGGTCAGTCCCTTTAAGTTTTCACTGGTATTTTATACTCAACTATTCCAGGTATCTCAAGGTAATCTTAAATACAGGAGAAGAAAGTGAGTTCTGTTCAGTACTTTTCAGGATTTAAGAAACCAGACTAACCTCTTGATTTCTTTTACCAAGTTACTAACTTTTGCTGATTGGTTCTACAAGACACAGTGTGATAAAGTAAAAAGAACCTTGAATGGAAGAGTTTGGTCTTGAGTTGGGTCTGAAAGCTGTGAAGAGTCTTTAAGCCAGCTATTTGAAACTCTAGATACTTTTTTTCTCATCAGAAAAAGATGATTTCTCCGATCCCTTCCAGATCTGTGAATCTAGAGTCTTCCTTTTATTCTTTTCTCTCCTGCATATACTTACCCTTCTGTATTACTATAATTACTATAATTTGTTTATATATCTGCTTTCCTTGAGTGAAAAGTTTTTTTTTTCCTGGTTCATCTTTGTCCCTCATAGACATTCATTAAAACTTTGATCAATTTATAAATTCATGTTGGCCAGTGTTGTTCGAGATAGCACTGCTATCAACAGACTTTTTCACTTATTGGCCTGATCATATTTCACAGTTAAAACATTTCGATTTTTCTTATGGATTCTTTTCTCTTGTTTTCCCCTGCCTCTTCTGTAGTCTTCTTACTTTACACTAACACACACACACCCCCATACACACATCACACCATCTCTTTTTTACCTCTTCCTCCTTGCAGTGAGCTTACTGAAAAGATGTGAGTCATTTGGCATGAACTCCTTTAGTTTTCTTCTTTTCCATTCCAAAATTTGATGATTGTCGCCCATCTTCTCTCCCTTCCCCTCCTCTAGTTGTTCACACAAAGCAAGGGTATAGTGTGTGGTTTAAAATCAGGAAAGGTATATGTCAGGGTTGTACCCTTTCAACATACTTGTTCAATTTGTGTGCTGAGCAAATAATCCCAAGAATCTGGACTATATGAAGAAGAATAAATACATCATCAGAATTGGAGGAATACTCATTAACAACCTGCAATATACAGATAACATAACCTTTCTTGGTAAAAGCTAGGAGAATTTGAAGCATTCACTGAAGATGAAAGACTGTAGCCTTCAGGATGAGTTATACCTCAACATAAAGAAAATCAAAATCCTCACAACTGACCAATAAGCAACATGATAGACAAAGAAAAGATTGAAATTGTCAAGGATTTCATTTTACTTGGATCCATAATCACCACCCATGGAAGCAGCAGTCAAGAAATCAAACGAGACATTACATTAGGCACATTTGCTGCAAAAGATCTCTTTAAAGTATTGAAAAGCAAAGATGTCACCTTGAGGACAAAGGTGCATCTGACCCAAGTCATAGTATTTTCCAGTCACTGTGTATGCATGCAAAAGCTAAGCAGTGAATAAAGACTGAAGAGGAATTAATGCCTTTGAATTACGGTGTTGGTGAAGAATATTGAGTATATTAGGGACTGCCAAAAGAGCAAACAAACCCGTCTTGCATGTATTTCTTGGAAGAAATACAGCCAGAATGCTCCTTCAGTGTGAGGATGGCAAGACTTTGTCTCACATACTTTGGACCTGTTACCAGGAGGGAACCAGTCCCTGGGGAAGAATATCATGCTTAGTAAAGTAGAGGGTCAGCAAAAAGAAGACCCTCAACAAGATGGATGACCCAGCACCTGCATCAGTGGGCTCAGACATAGCCCATTGGTGTGAATACGGCACAGTATCAGCAGTGTTTCGTTCTGTTGTATATAAGATCCCAATGAGTCAGAACCGACTTGATGGGCCCACCGACAACCACCACTTCAAAATTTGGTAATTGTCATCATCATCTCCCTACTCCTCCCATAGATTCTTCTTTTTTAAAAGACCTCTTCTGCTCTGTCAGTCAGACCTGTCCCTCAAAACTGGCCTTTCTCACAGCTTGCAGGCCTTTCCCGTCAGGAATAGACTTGCTCTTGGCCCCCTACTTTCTTCCTAAGCCAGAATAGTAAAGCTCTTGCTTTTGCCTCCACACTTCCCAAAAGAGGATTGGTCCTGATTTCAGAAACATGAGGAATCATCTCAGTGTCTTGCTTTTTGTCTGTGCTCTTCCAGTTAGAGTGAAGGGACATCTTTTTCTTGCCCTTGTCCTTTTAGCATTCCAGGTCTCTCTTGATTTTTTTCTCTTTGATTTTATTTTACTAGGAAGAACTGAGTTTGCTTAGGAGCTCTGGTGGTATTGTGCCTAAGGCATTTGACTGCTAACCAGAAGGCTGGCAGTTCAAACCCACCAGCCAATCCTTGGAAGGAAGACCGGGCAATCTACTTCCATAGTGATTCCACCTCAGAAACCCAAGGAGGGGCTGCTGTGAGTTGGAACTGACTCTACGGCAGTGAGTTTGGTTTTGGTTTGATCAGACTGTTAATGATCGTAGTAACTGTTGTGAATCTGTTTTTCTGAGACTCGCTTAGAAGAGGTTTAAGTTCTCATTTATGCTGCTCATTGTATTAAGATGCTCTATCATAGCACTGCTTTGGAGGCATTAAGGAGGAGCCCCAGGATGTACAGCAGTTGAGAAGAGCTGTGATTGCTTTTTATAAACCGTTTCTGAACATAAGGTTAACATGTTTTCATTGCATCTTCCTTACTTATAACTTCTGACTACACATATTTTAAACACTCAAGCAGACACTTGAGTTCATTGTTTTTAGTCTGTACAATTATTGAAATGTGGATTTAGAAGGTGAGTTTGTGGTCTTTGATACTTGCCTACAAAATACTTTTGTTTTTCATTTTTCTCTTTTGCTGTTTATCTTCATGTATATAATTTAAGATGTGTTGCATTTCTTGTTCCTTTAATGTAATTGTGAGATTCCATATACTGAAAACCAAAACCAAACTCACTGCCATGGAGTCGGATCTGTCCCATAGCAACCCCTCCTTGGGTTTCCGATGTGGTATCACTACAGAAGTAGATTGCCCAATCTTCCTTCTGAGGAGTGATTGGTGGGTTTGAACTGCCAACCTTCTGGTTAGCAGTCAAATGCCTTAGGCACTGTACCACCAGAGCTCCTCATTCCATATACTAGATAGACCTTAGTGATCTTCTGTTGACAAATATGAAGATGCCTTCTTGAATCTCAGAATTGAAACAGGAAGATGGCTCAGTAAAGACTGAAGATTGTTGTTTCTGGGATCATGAACTTTTCTCCTTTCTCACAGTTCTAGCTAACAGTCTGGCTTAGGTGCTTTACGACGGATGTGACGCTATAAGGAGCGTGTGTTGATAGCAGGTACTGTGTCATGGCCTGCCAGGCCTGCTGTTCTAGGCATATGGAACTAGGGCCATGTATGTGCTAGCACACACCCTGCCATGCCCGCATACCTATGGAAATCAGCCAGACCACTGTGATCTTGATGAATGCTGTGGCACGGGAGTTACATTGACTGGCCTGGATTGGCTTTTTGATGGCTATGTAACGATCCACTGAGATGGCACAGAGATGCATGATGGATGCAGTAGAAAATAGAACATCGAGAAATAACCAAGCAGGGCACAGGACAAGTGGCAGGGGCCACGTCGGCTCTGAAAGAAAAAAACAAAGCAAAGAGTTTTTTTCCTGAAAAAATAGCAATCTTTAGTCTGTAGTTCCTTTGCTTTTTTCATATTTATCTGCAATTTTATGACTTAACCTCTACAAGATAATAATGTTTAATTTTAAATAATGGGGACAATAATATTAAATATATTTCTGTAGAGGTGCTTTCTTAATACAGTTGCTGTTGTGCGTAGTAATTACAGCCCTTTTTCTTTCTAAACTGGCAGTAGATTAGCATATTCTTAACAGTATTTTGACCTTTCCCTTTTTTTGATCATTCCTTTTGTAGTCTTTTAAAAATTTACACATGATTGCAGCTGAAACTTAACCTTGCTATTCAAATAAAATTTAGTTTTAAGTTGCTATTGTATAAAAAGAAAGCATTGTTAGTATAAATAGGGAATGATGCAGCATGGTAGAAGAGTTTTAGAAGAGGGTTCTCAGGGAGCCCTGGGGGTGTGGCTCACTCTTCGCAGTGATTAGCAGCAAGATCTTTGTTGGTAGTAAATTCTCATTTGGTGAAGTGGTGAGGTAAAGTGATTTGAGTTTCCGGTTTGACACAAATTGTTCTTAAATCAAGTTTGCCAAAAGAATGGCTTCAGATTTTCTTTGGAGAGGGGTGGGAGTGCGGATAGTACCCCCACATCCTATCATTCTCCTGAAACACTAGAGATGTAATAAGCAATACGGAATTTAACGGGTTTTTTTTTCCATTTTCGCAGTGTTTCCTCCCTTAAGTTTTTTTTTTTTTTTTAAATCCCAGATTTAGACATAATTTTAAATTTATTTAACAAACTTGTGGAGTACTTACTGTGTACATCATACAGGCTTAACCAGTTTAGAAATACTTGTAATCTTAGGTTTGGATGTGATACTGAATATTCTACATCATTGTTGAAATCATTTCCTTGCACAGGTGTCCACATGTGTGTGGAGGAACGTACGTTATCTGTCTGCATATACCCACCACTTAAGAGATTTGCAGTTTCAGAACCACTGACCTTCATTTTATGGTTCTCCCTAGAATATCACAGTTAGGATCCATTTTACAGAACACACATACAAAAGGCTATAAAACCAGATTATATTTCAGTATAGAACAGACGTTATGCATGTGAGGTTATTTTAAATCCCCTTCATTGTTTAATCGGGAGCCCTGGTGATGTAGTGGTTAAGTAGCTAACCAAACCTTATGGATGCTCCACAGAAAATAGGGCAGTCTGCATCCAGAAAGATTACAGCCTTAGAAACTGTAGGGCAGTGCTCTGCCGTACAGAGTCACTGTGAGTCAAAATGGACTCAGTGGCAGTGGGTTTGGTTTTGGTTTGTGGTCTAATAAAGGAGCCCCGGTGGCACAATAGTTAAGCACTTGGCTGGTCAGTGAAGGCCTGGCAGTGACCCCACCAGCCGCTCTGCAGAGGAAAGATTCAGCGGTCTGCTTCTGTAAAGATTTATAGCCTGGGAAACCTGATAGGTCTACTCTGTCCTATAGGGTCGCTGTGGGTCAGAATTCAACTCAGGAAGTCTTGCTTTGCAAGTCTGGGAAGATGCACCTGGGTTGCTGGTGAAGGATAGTTATCTTCAAATACACCCAGAATGCCTTATAGAAAGGAATTTATGGAAGGCTTTTCAAAATAAACTATGCAGAGAAACCTGTGTTTAAAGATAATCTAGTCAGTTGGATTTTATCCCTTAACATTATGTTGAGATTTTCTGCCATGAGTAGAAAAGAACCCTACATGGTTGATGGCAGCAATACATTCTTTGAGCAAGCAACTAGCAGTCTGATCACAGTGAAAAGAACCTCATAGGATTTGAGAGTTTTATGAAAACTTCTTGAAGTGGTGCTGCATTCTAAACTGAAGTTCTAAGTTTGGAACTGTGTCTAGGGAAATAGAAAAATACTCAAATCTAGAGCTACCACCAGAAGTTATGATCATAGTTAAAGATTAAAAAGGCAAATTAATGTGTTGATTTTAGGCTTCTTTTTTTAAATGCATATGCTGTCATTAAAAAAAAAAAAAAAAAGTTTGTTACTAACTTAAATTTACCTATTCTAATGGTTATGTTTTTGAAATTTATGATCTGGAAAATTCTAGTCATAAATCTAGTGGGTTTGAGCAGGAAGCCACAGTGGAGCTCCCAGATGAAGTGCTTGGTCTTTGGAATTAGACTGTCTGACCCCCATGCTCCTGGTTGTAAGCGAAGTGGGAAAACTCTTTACTGCTGATTTAACTGAGCCTATGGACGATTTCCAACATTTCCTCCCTTTCCACAGAATGAATTTATTTTTTCAACTCCCATTTAGGGGGCAGAAAGTGGGAAATAAAACTAATGCAATCAATAGAAAGTTTTTAGTTCAGTCAGTGTCTTATTGTTAACAGGAGAAGTATTGAGATGTGACACCAAATTTTATTAAAAATAAAAAGACTAGGTGGCTGAGGGCTAGGATTAAAATAATCTTTCTGATTGTTGTTGTTGTTGTTGTGTGCTGTCGAGTCGGCCCCAACTCATAGCGACCCCTCCTTGGGTTTCTGAGGCAGTATCACTACGGAAGTAGGATTGCCCAACCTTCCTTCCGAGGAGTGGCTGGTGGGTTTGAACCGCCAGCCTTCTGGTTAGCAGTCAAGTACCTTAGGCACTATACTACCAGAGGTCCTATCTTTCTGATTAGGCTTTATGATTCCAAGTTTCATGAAGTCTAGTGAACAAACTATTTAAGAAACTAACAAAAAAGTACCAGACAACTACATTAAATTAGTAGAAATCTTCTACAGAAAGCCAAAGGGAAAAAAAAAAAAAAAAACTTGTCTAATTACCTATTTCAGGTAATCTAAGAATTTATAAAAATTACCAAGTTACAGGCTTCTCGATTCATAAAAATTTTCCTAGTCTGGATACTTTTATTCTAACGTTGTCTTTTCAGTTAGTCTTAATTTGATAGGCTCAAGGGCAGATCATTTTCTTACTATTCAGACTGACTGAATAAATGTTAAGTTGATGTGGTAAGGTATGTTCATTATTCCAAAACTGTATGTGTTATTTTTATAGGAGTTTAAAAAATTTTTAAGGATTTATAATCACATTCGTTTGTTATAATGTATTATGTCTAGCTTGCTTCCTTAAGAACTTGAGACTATTTAAAATTTTAAGTAAAGTGGAAGAGTTACAGATATAAATAACAAGGAAGAAATAAGTGTATCTAAAAGGTATTCTAAGGGAAGCTAGTTATCAGGTACTTGAACTAAATTACTGTTTTTTTGGGAATCTTAAGTTTGACCCTTTTATAAAAGCTAAGACAGAAGGGCGGAAAAATTTAGATTTTATAGTATTTGTTGTCTCACAAAAAGAAAGCATACAAAAATTCTCCAAAAAAAAAAAAAAATCCTATTGTACTTCCTTTCCTTATCCTAAATTAAACTCAGAGAGGAATTTAATTTCAATAAGGTTTGAGTAATGGCATTTCTGTGAGTATCTGAAAAAATAATACAGATACTGAATATTAAAGGAGCAAAGCAAGTCTTAGGCAGGTCTTAATTAATAGAGAATTCATTATTAGCTAAATATAAGTAGCAGAAATATTTTGTTGCATAAAATGACTTTATGTATGCTTTAGATACCACCATATATGAGGAATGATAGAATCGTCATTCCATTATGTAAGTTTCTATTTGTCTCCTTTACAAGGTTTAACCACTTCATAGGTATGGACCTGGGTCTAATATCCTCAGAAAAGAAGTCTAGGAATCATCTCAAGAATTTTCACAAGTACTGGTTGAGACTCAGGTGTTCTCTATCATTTAATCTGAAAAATACTGGGTTTTCCTTTGTCCTGAGAAAAAAGTCTATGGCCCTCTTGTTAAATGGAGTTACTTAAAAACCACATCAAACCCACTGCCATGGAGTTGATTCCGACTCATAGGAACTCTATAGACAGAGTAGAACTGCCCCAATGGGGTTTCCAAGGCTGTAAATCTTTACTGAAGCAAACTGCCTCATTCTTCTGCTGAGCAGCTGGTTGGTGGGTTTGAACTGTTGATCTTTTAGTTAGCAGCTAGAATGCCTTAATCACTGAACCACCAAAGTTCTTTGTATGCTATAGTTGGGTTGCTACAGTTTCTCCTTTACGTTTGGGAAAGCAAAATCGTAGAGCTGAAGAGTGGGGGTCCCAGAGTGAGCTTTCCTGGATTCAGATTGTGTCTCTGCCACTTGTTTAGTAACCATGGACACTTAGCCCTCTGTTCCTATGTGTTCCCTGTAAAATGGGTGATGATAAACCTTCATAGGGTTGCTTTGAGGATTAAATGCAATACATGAAGTCTGCAGAGAGGAAGCATTCAGTAAATGTTAGCTTCCATTACCGTTGTTCGACAGAAACTAGCCAACTGGCTCAACCTTTAAGACACTCCTGCTTAGAAACAATAAGCCATATCATTAGCATAAAATAGTATGTTTGTCTTTCTGCCTGCTGTCGCACGAGTGCATGTGTCCGATTGAACTTAAAGTGGTACTTGCTAAAAATAAAAGAAATGGCATATGAACGTGCTTCACTCGGTTTAAGTTTGAATTAAATTTGTCATGAAGGTGTGCCTTTACCACAGTTGAATTAATTGTAGTTGTGCTCTTTATTGGATGCATGTCACAGCATGATACTAGCTTCTCTACACTGCAGTTGTCCAGTTTGGGCTGTGCCTGGTTCTTCATTTTGTGTTTTCTTTTTAATTGGTGCAAAAATCTTTTTTCAACCAGAAATTCAGTTTCTTTATTTTGATTTGGAAAACCAAGTTCTGTCATTTGTTCTTAAAATATTTCTTGATCTATAAACCTGGAGAAAAATTATTTCCCTTTTGAGGATTTAAAAGACCATACTTTTAAAGCCATTCCAAAAGGGCAGTGCCTGTGGCGTTCACTGAGGGAAACAATTGATGGAAGTATTGGAAGAAGACAAATTCTAAACAGCTCTTACATCCAAAAAGAACATAGTTTTCAAATACACATTTTTTGAATCTCAGAGCTTCTGCTGCTTCTGTCTCTATCTTCCAGAATAGAGAGACATAGCATAAAATTAGAGTGAAGCGTGCTGTAGTTTGCTGCTGCTGTTCCTTATTCCCCTGCATTCAGTGTGTGGGCTGAGGGTTAGATATCTACTATGAGAGAATAGGTCAAATAATTTAATACTCAATAAAACATTTTTTCCTTACTTTTTTTGATTTCTGCTTTTCAGAAACAATTGCTTTGCCCCCTTGCCTCAGAGTTGGGTAGACGACAGCATTTCACTGCCTAAGTGAATAACGGATTTCGTTCATGCTGTGTATCTTTTTCATTTAGACTAACATCTAAACCATATATGTAAGTGTATATGCCCTTCACATACTATAATAATAGCTGCCATTTATTACTGACTGGGATACGCTGGGTCCTATTTGACAGTCTCAAAGATGTCTGCAGTGTAAATCAGCACACTCATTTTACAGACAAGGTGATTGAATTCACACCTGTTTTTCTACACACCATCTTACGATTGTGCTACAGATACTGCTTCAACTTGTAGATCATACTTTTCCCCTTTACATTTTTAATCACTTGTTAATTGAAAGGAGCTCTGATGGTGTAGTGGTTAAAGCATTTGGCTGCTAACCAGAAGGTTGGTGGTTCAAATTCACCAGCCACTCCATGGAAGAAAGATGGGGCAGTCTGCTTCCATAAAGATACACAGCCTTGGAAACTCAATGGGAGTTGTTACGAGTTGAAAAAGGACTCAGCAGTGAGTTTGAGCTTTGTTTTAATTGAGGTGAAGGGAGAAGAAAGGAGGGAGAGAGAGAAGTTACTATATACACTGAACACTGTCTTTTTGATAGTGACATAGATTCTGTTGTTCTTTGCATTCTAGTATTTCATACTTAGGCTTTTTCACTTTTTCTTTCCTGATGTGCTTTAGGTAAAGATTTACAGAACAAATTATTTTCTCATTGGATAGTTTGTACATAAAGTATTCCACGACATTGGGCACATTCCCCACGATGTGTCACCACTCCCCATTTCTGCCCTGGAGTCACCATTTTCCTTTTGTCTGGATTTTCTACCCCTTTCCTGCCTTCTCATCTTTGCTTTAGGGCACACGTTGTTGTCCTTTTGATCTCGTAGAAATGATTGTCCTAAAATACACGTTCCTATTACTGTTTATTTTATGGCCCTGTCCATCATTTGGCTAAAAGGTGGTCTCTGGGAATGGCTACAGTTCTACGTCAGAAGGGTGTCTTAGGGCCATAGTCTTGTGTGTGTGTGGGGTGGTGGAGCAAGGGGGTTGCAGTAAGCTGTTGCGACATGCACAGAAGTAAGAGCTTGAATTACACTCCTGTATGAACTTTACTGGGAGCTCTGGTAGCATAGTGCCTAAGGCACTTGACTGCTAACCAGAAGGCTGGCGGTTCAAACCCCCTAGCCACTCCTCAGAAGGAAGATTGGGTAATCTACTTCCGTAGTGATACCGCCTCAGCAACCCAAGGAGGGGTCGCTATGATTTGGGTCCGACTCGATGGCACATAACAACTACAACAACATGAACTTTACTAAATGTGCACAAATATTCTACGTAGTCCTCCAGTCTCTGCTGCTAACCAGAAGGTTGATGGTTCAAACCCAGAATAGCAAAAACCAAAACCAAACTTACTGCCATCAAGTCGATTCTGACTCACAGCAACCACCATTGGGTTTCCAAAGCAGTAAATCTTTATGGAAGTAGATTGCCCTGTCTTTCTTCCATGGAGCAGCTGGTAGGTTTGAACCACCAACCTTCTGGTTAGCAGTCAGATGTCTTACTATGCCACCAGAGCTCCTTGTCAGACTAGTAAGTCTAGTTTTTGTTGTGAATTTGATTTTTTTGTTCTACATCTTTCTCCTATGCTGTCCGTGACCCTCTGTTGTGATCCTATTCAATGGTTGAATAAAATATCCTTTGGTGTAAAGACACAGGGGCCACTTTTTTATTTCACTGCTCTTTTTTCTAACTTAGTTTTATTAGTAGAAAGAATGAGTAAGTTTCTGTTCTGTGTTAATTTCATCGTAATTCTCTTAGGTAGCTAACATCACTCCTGTCCTCATTAGCTGCCACGGGATCAACTGAGGGTGGACACTTTTGTTTGGGTAGACTTAAGATCTTCTGAAGATAATCCTTATAATAAGAGAAAAATACTGCTCCTGACTTTTCAAGGTGTTGAAATTCTTAAGAGTTTAGAAAGTCTTAGTATTTCTCCACATGTGAAAAGCTATCAAAAAATCTTAGTATTTGAGTCAAGTTCCTATTTACATACATGCAGTCATCAGTTTATGAATGCACCTTTGAAACTTTCCAGAGGGCAGCGTGTACTGTCTCACGTGGAAATACAGCAGATGTTTCAAATAATGAATTAGTGAGATAATGTTTTACATCACGATTAAATATCCAGATTAGTTTATGTAAATAAAAAAATTCTGCTGAGCCCATGTTACAGCTTAATTATTGGTGATAAAAGTGTTTGGTGCTATGAAAGATTTTATTTTATAATTAAAAATTAACAAACATTTAAAAGAATAAAAATACTATTAAAAAATATATACCATCATTATTTAAGAAATAAATGTATGACATTTCATATACATTGAAATATGTTGGATTTTCTGCTTTTATTGCTAAAAAAATGTTTTGGGCACCAAAATTTTAAATGTAACCTTAATTTTCAACTGCTGGATACTTACTGCTTTCCTGTAGAATACGTGGAATTCTCTCTTTGATCTGTTTTTGATTTTGTTTGTCAGCTCATTTTAATGCCATAAAGCTTTGTCTTTTAAGATTTCTTAACTGTTGAGCTGATGGTTTAAGCATCTATCTGCCTGTAGTGGGTGTTTGGCATTTGTTGACTCAGAGATTTTAAAGTTAAAATTGACTTCTACATAACTTATTCAGTGTGATTTATTCAATATAGCATTAATTAAATTGTATAGTAGTAGAAGATGAGTATTTGAACGTTTTCTGTATACCCAGCAAAGCACAGTGTGAAGAATGTGATACTGCACTTGTAGCTGTTACAGTGTGGGTGGAGATAAGAGCTTGAATTACACTCCTGTGTGAACTTTACTAAATGTGCATAAATATTCTATATAGTCCTCATTTGCTTTACTTCTTAATTCAGAATTAAAGTTGTCCTTTAGAGTAGGATTTCCTCATTATTTCCCATGGCTACACTATGTAGCACTGGAATGACAGTTAATGAGTAGAGATGCTGATTAAACCACTAGAACCTTATTCATTATTGCTTGTTCTGTCATAGAATTTTCTTCATTTACTGTACAGAGTGGGAAATTCAAACCTATCACCCCCTGATTGTATTTAGGGGAACAAGTTTTTTGTTTAGATGGCTTTTTGTCATTACTTTAAAAATGTAACTTTTTCAGCCTGGGTGTAATAGTTTGAATAGCAGTTTTTGTTCACCTTCTAATAAGCATTCTAGTTAAGTAAATTTTACTTCTAATACTTGAAATATATTTATTCTTACCATATAAATGTAACTGAGGAGCCATATCTGCTACAAATAGTCATTTTTCTTAAGCAATGAATGAATCAAAAATCAATGTAAAGGAGCCCTCCTAATTCATCAACAGAGTTACTGTGTTTATCCAGATACTATAACTAGAGATGATTATGCATGAATTAGAAAATACTTGTCTATTTTTATATCATTATCATTTTATTATGCCTCAGATTACAATATCAGATTATTTTATTTTTGTAATAACTCAAGGTTTTGTGCACTTATTTTATTAACTTAGAGGTCTGATTCTTTGTACATTTATCAAGAACACAGACGGTCAGCTATCATGAAAATTAAGCAGATGGATCATCTCTTGGGACGTTCTGAGCCAGACCATTTCCTTAAGTGACTACATATAATTTTTTCTTCACGTGACACATATGTAAGAATTGTGTTCAAATCTGAAGTATACAAGCTATAAAGAGTTATGACAAGAATTTTATAGAACAATTCCAATCTTAAATTGGGGCTACATGATTTCAAAGACTTCATCGTTAATAATTAACCCAACACACATCTGTCATAGATGTCTTAGATATTGTTTGTCAAGAAAAAAAGATACTGATAATGGGAAAAGATTAGAGAACAGGTCTACATTTCACTTTAATTATTTGTTAGCTTGGGTGATGTTTTTATTGATTTCTTTGAATGAGGAGAAAGTAAAATTGTTTTTAAGCAGTAATTTTTCATTCTTTAAAGATGATTATCAGCCATAGAAAAGGATGAAAATGAGGAATCGCTTACTTACTGAGTTTTTAAATAGTCCATCTTTTATTTTAAGGAAAATAGAGATGAAATGAGTGGCTCGTTCTCTAAGTTCTGTGGTTTCATGGCAGAAACAAAGTGAAATACTTACCAAACATTATTGTCAAGAGAGCGATCGGCATCACAAACAATCCAACCAGCAGATCAGCCACCGCCAGGGACATAAGAAAGTAATTGGTAGCGTACTGCAGCTTTTTCTCCAGTGAGACAGCCAGGATTACAAGGACGTTTCCACCAATCGTGGGTATTATCACCGTGAGTATCGGCAGAGCTGCCCAGCGCAGTTTACTCCCCTGCTCCTCACCAGTCTGTTTCATTTCCTCTGGTCCAGATTCTGTCTGTAATCCAGACCAGTTAGAAGAAATCAGGTGATCAAATGTGCTCGGCAAAATGTGCTCAGAAAGCGTGCTTTGTTCAGACATTCTGTCAGAGAGAGCCATCCGCTGTTTGTCTGTGATTTCATCTGATTGCGAACAATAGCCAGCATGGTCAGTAGCTAGACCGGTCATCTGCTTTTTTAAGGCATTGTACCCATGCCAAACACTCAGAGTGAGAGTTGACTCCTTCCTTAAAAAAAACCATTCAGGTCCTCAAAAATGAGAGCATGCAGGCATCTATCCATGTCTGTAGGTAGCAACTCTGGTTCCAGAAGGCCTAGTGGGGAACCCAGTGGCTGTGAAAATAGGCAAATTGTTAGTTTCTCCTTTTTTTTTTTTATTCCGTGTAGCAGTAAGAATCATCTTTGAACTTGAATGCCAGAGATTTTCCACTAGATATATAATACATGAATTCTTTATTTCTTCATTTTCAGAAAGCAGTAAAGACACTTAAACTTACCTTTCCCCTCGCAAAAGGTCTCTTGTGCATTTGTGACAATGCATCCAATTCCCACAAAAATACTATGTTCCTAATACACTTCAGTCAATGAAACAGAAAATACATGAATATTTTTCTGTAATTATAATAAAAATGTAGTAGTGTCTTAACCCTAGAATGTTTTTTTATCTTTACTTTAGAAAATATACGGAAGAAAGAAAAATCAAAGCATTAGATACTTCCTTTTTAACAGCAGTCTGAGTAGAACTTGTGTATACATTGGCCACCCTTCTAGAAGCCACCTAAGTTCTTTTAGAAAACAAAAACAAAAAAAGATTTACCAGATAGGAATACTTATTTGTAGTTGGGTTTTATCTGATCAAGATTATGTTAATACTTATATAGATATAACTGCCATTTTTATAAAGCATTTTAGAATTCCTTTTGTTTGCAAAAAGGAAAAAAAAAACAGCTATTATTAGGGTCCTGACCATTGTTTTTAGTGATTTGATCTTTCAGAGCATGTTTGTGCACTAGATACTTTCTAGATTTATCACTTTGTGCCAAATTTGATCCATTTCATTTTTCTGTTCATTTTAAATAGTTACTTTTCTTAACCTTCCAAATTCCCCTGGGAAGGAAGAGAAACCTCACAAAGATGAAACCATCTCTTCATAACATTTACAAATATCATACTTAAAATTTCTCTTTTATTGTTTGAAAATGTTTCATTTTGTTTTTTAAACTAGTGACTAGAAATAAAAGGTTATGGTAGTAGAGTTCTTGGGAAAAACAAAAAACTCTAGGCTACTTCTCTGTTTATTCATTAAATCCTTACCTCTTCCTCAAGTATTACTTTCCCGGACGTGTCATCCTGTCTGTCCTGTAGACCTCTTGCTGCTGTGACTGTCTTCCTCCCATTGACTTACTCTGAGCCTCCAGCACTGGTGCTTGAAAGCAGTGAAAACAGATGTGTATGTGGCTGTACGCATGCCAAGGAGTTATTTCCTCTTTGATACGCTCATTTTTAAAGAGTAGCAGCATTCATTATCGTTTGTAAAACCACCAGTTAAGGGTGTTGAACCAGTTCATGACTCTGACTGCAGCTACATTTTGCAGCTTTCTCTTTGATACTTAAGAGACTATAATAAAGCCTATCATTTTAGCTTCAGATGGTTTTTCTTTGGGATTAATCCTGGGCTGTTTCTCTGGTTTGAAAAAGATAACATATAAATAGATAAAGATCCTAGCCTTTATGGTGATTTCTCGGTTCTGATCTCTAGCAGTGAAACAAGAGTCTCATTCAGCTCTTACCTCTGCTGTGGAGCACAATTAATTTGCTCTGTTTACATCCTTATATAGAAGAACACAGAAAGGTCTGAATTCTACGTGTATACATAAGTTTTGGCAGGAACTTTTTCATTGCTCTTAAACAGATGGCCCCTGGGTTTGGGAATTGTTTTTTGGCATTTTTTTTTTTTTTTTTTTTCCAAGCATTTCACATTGAGGAAAGTATTTAGTATCTAATAAAAATAATTTCTGCCTTATTTCAGAAAATTGAAAAATGTTAACAGCTAAGGTATCTCTTTCTCAGCCATAAGACCCCCTTTTTATAACTATTTTAGAAAAATGCAGTCTATTGTATTTCCTAAGAATGCTGGATGGAAAAAATGAAATAATTATTGAGAACAGCTGGAGAGACTTCATTATGCCAGAATTTCTACTCAGGAATATGAAAATAATTAAGAAGTACTGCTTTGTTCTGTCACAACTTGACTCTTGTGCCCTTGCAGGCAGGTTGTTGTTAGGTGACGTCGAGTCGTCTCTGACTCTTAGCGACCCTATGCACAGCCGAATAAAACACCGCCCAGTCCCATGCCATACTTGAGCCCATTGCCGCAGCTGCTGTGTCAATCCACCTCGTTGAGGGCCTTCCCCTCTTTCATCAACCAAGCATGACATCCTTCTCCAGAGAATGGTCCCTTCTGATAACATGACCAAAGTAGGTGAGACAAAGTCTGGCCATTCTTGCTTCCAAGGAGCATTCCAGCTGTACTTCCTCTAGGACAGATTTGTTAGATCTTTTAGCACTCCATGGTACTTTCATCATTCTTCGCCAGCACCACAACTCAAAAGCATTAATTCTTCAGTCTTCTTTATTCATTGTCCAGCTCTCACATGCATGGCTTGTGTCAGGCACAACTTAGTCCTCGAGGAGAGGTCTTTTGCAGCCGACTTGCCCAGTGCTGTACATCGTCTTGATAGGAGTCTGCAAAACAAATAATGATTGAAAATGCCAGCACTGTTGTATCCAGCCTTCTTTGATTTGTGGTTATAAATTTTTTAAAATATTCATTCAGTGTAATATAAAAATACTAATTTTATTTTAATGTCATATCAATACTAACCTCTTCACCTGTATTCAGTCACTTTCTTTTTCCTTAACTAAAAGTCATTAAAGTTGGTACTTTTAATGATTCAATGGCTAAGGAACCATACTAGTTAGAACAAGCATTTATTTGGCAAACACAAATTATTGAAAACATAACCAAGAATCAGAAAGAAAGCAAAATAATAATAAACAGGTAGGTAAGCCTCTGAGTTGGCAAATAACTAAACCTGTGCTCTAAAACACTGTATAAGACAGTCTATAAGTCCCCACTCCAAGACTTTACAAGCATACATGCATGTGTTCAGCCTTCCCTCCCTCCCCTACCTATAATGAAAATATTACCACATGGTGGTAAATCTGAATACTACAAAAATATATTCGGTGATAAACATTGAGACAGTTTTAATGATCATGTTTTCCTGCCTCTACGAGTTAAAAAGTGAACAAATATTTTGATAACAGCAGTGTCAATTAAAAAGAGAAAAAAAAAAATGGAGCAATTAAGTAGAGAAGTATAGGTCTGTTCAGAATAGAGGCTGGTGGTTGCCATGTAACTCAGCCTTCCTCACTATGTAGTGTAATGATGGAGATCATGTTCATCCAGCTTCACTTTGGAGGATAAGAAAATGTGAACTGCATTTGTTTTAAAAGATTTCCATACAAAATGATTTTTTTAAAATGCACTTAATTGAAATATAATTTATGTACAGTGAAGTACACAAAGCTAAAGTGACATGGGTCAGCTTTTTTGTGTGTGTGTATGTGGTGTTCCCTCCTCTCCCCTCCCACCCCTGGCAACCAACAAAGTTTCCCTCCATATATAAACCTTTCCTTGACCCTCCATAACAATGAACTAGTACTGTATTTGTCCTTCTGTGATTGTACGATTGACTTATTTCACTCAGCATAATGTCTTCCAAGTTCATCCGCGTTACACATTGTTTTGCAGATTCTGTGTTATTCTTTAGGGTTGCATAGTATTCCATTGTGTGTATGTACCATAGTTTGGTTATCCATTCCTCAGTTGATGGACACCTAGGTTGTTTCCA